ACTTGAGAGCAATAAATCAAATAGTTCCCAGAGCTCACATAAGGCTGAGATACATCTGAGTCTTGACCAGCTGGGGTGGGGAGTCCATGTTGGCACTCAGGGCATTCGGTGGAGAACCCTCAGAGAGGCTAGGCTTTTGTGGGAAATAAACTAACACCAGAGTGAAGCATATTCTGTATCGATCTGCCTTAACAAACTCAAAATTCTTAAGATTACCAGGCTTCCTGATAGAACGAACTCCAACACTCTTTGAAAGACGTTAACAAAGTAAAATCTAGCCCTGCAAAATAATGTCCACCATTTAAAAATAATGAATTATTAGCTATTTCAAAAAGCAGAACAGAAAAAAAAATCAGTCACAAAAGCAGATTAAAAAGACAGAGATAATAGACTTAGAGAAGCACTTTATTTTTCCCCAACTTTACTGAGACATAATTGACAAAATTGTATAAGTTTAAGGTATACAATGTAATAATTTAATACGCGGTATATAATGTGAAATGATTACCACAGTAAGGTTAGGATTTACTTTCCTAACTATGTTATTGCCTGTTCCCTCCTCCCCCAAATAAGAACTCTATAAACTATGGGAAAAGCATCACAGGCAAAAATACCACCAACCATTATTTTCAAAACAATAATTCAAGCAGGGAGAGCACCAAGAATCTTATTGCCTTAACACAAGTAACTTTTCCTCACTTGCTCTGGTGGTCAGCCTACTAAACTAACGAGATTCAAACAATGGAAGAAAAAGGATGAAGTCAGCATGTGTGCCTTTCTTTTACATAATTCCATTTTGACAAAATTCAACAGTTCAGATATCAGTGAAACATCAATGTTTCTAACCTCTAAATAATAAATAACTCACTCTCACGTAACAAGAATGTGTATGTTCACAAATCACCGTAGAGCTCCGAAGTCATCACTATGTTTGTTTTATTTTCTCTACTGCAGGCTGGTAGAAATTCTACTTACCAGTTCCCTCCATAGCTATTTGTATGAGTGATCCTCCTAGGCTTTATCTTCATTTGAAGTGCACACTACAACAAATACTTTTCCATACCATGAGAAAAGAGTCATAGCAGAAAATTTAAACAAATGTAAAATGATACATTTTATTTACGTTTAACACACTTGGAATCAGGGGTCAAAACCTGCAGCCTGAAGATACATTTTTTCGGTTTCCGTGCTTTTTTTGTCCAACAACACGTTCACAATTTTTTTTGCAAATTTCAGTGTCTTCAGGTGGGCTTATATTCTCCAGTTTGTCATAAACCACTCCAATCTTCTTACTTTATATCCAACATTCATGTACTATTCACGGTACCTCCTGGCCCATGAGGCACTTGGGTTTGCCAATCTCTACTTTGTGTGAATAAGCCAAAATTAATAAATAATTTCTTCCTATTTCAGAAGACTTTTGACTATCTTCCAAAATGACCTCTAAAATGAGCGATGGACTTTTTCCAAGACAACTGAATTTTTAACATGTTGGCTTAAAATTTTTTGGCAGAACTTTTGTCAGTAATAGCCACTTCTAAATGGAGAAAAGAGAATGTGGTATCGTTGCTTTGATTTATTTGACTAAATTGTGTTCACAGCCACATTGGGTGATTTTGCATAATCAAATTGTTCATACTTTCTACTTATATTGCTATTTTCAGTTGTATATTTTAAAATATATTTTGAAAGATTGTAATGCTTAAAGAAAATATTAATTTATATATAACTTTTCAGACTTCCTTTTAAAAAATCTCACAATCCTTTAAAATATTTTACAGATAATTTATAAAATATTATTTTCTATGTTGTGTAAAAATCCACACAACCTCACTGAATAAAAAGGGGAAATTCACTATCTACGGTATTAAATCTCCAAAACCACATTCTTTTCTTAACAAAACTGACCTATACTAATGTTAATAACTTTCTATTTAATACTTTGAGAAATAGTTGTGCAATATTTTTAAATGAATGGAAACATTGAAGAACTTGAAAAGAAATGTTGAGTAGTTCCTACATCTCTCATGTTTTCTTCGTGTGAGCGCTGCCTCATAGACCATTTTTATGCTATGTTGTTTACCAATCGTTTGGATTTATTAGAGCTCTCCTCAACCAAAATAATGGTGAGCTACCGTTGTTTGTATTAATTGCTTTCCTGTCTGACCTTAGCAGTGTGCTGTTATGATGCTGTGAAAACTTTTTGTCTCTAATTCCCATATTGCTCTCAGCCCTAATCAAAGCTGTTTTTATTTTCTCTTCCTTTATTTGTCTAAAAAAGATAAACAAACACTAATTTGCAAAGAGCATGGGGAGTGATGAATCCAAGATGACCTTAAGGACTTTTCCAACTCCAACATTCCTTCAGCAGATCTTAAGATCTAGTTAATGTCATACTATATGGTTTACTCTAATAGGTATCCTTAAAATTTTAAATGATAGAATTAGTTCAAATGGCAAATAATATTTAAAGTGTTTATCTGTCGGGGCGCCTGGGTGGCGCAGTCGGTTAAGCGTCCGAC